CTGTCAAACACTGAAGGTGTGTTGAACAAGAGCCCCCAGCATGGCTCGCGGACTGAAATTGGAGTGGCACGTAACCCATTGAGCACTGCTCAAGTATCAAGGCAGTTGCTGCATGCCCAGGGTGGTATGGTCGGACGAGGCCCAAGGCATCGAGGGTTAGGCCCCAGCGATGCGCGTGGAGTGGCGCGTAATTTACTGAGCACCGCTCACGTCTTGAAACAGATGCTGCATACCAAGAGTGGTATGGTCGGACGAGGCCCGAGGCCCGAGGCATCGAGGGTGAGGTTTAGTGATGCGCGTGGAGTGGCACATAATCCACTGAGCACTGCTAACGTTTCGAAGCAGTTGCTACATACCAAGAGTGGCACGGTCGGACGAGGTCCGAGGCATTTTAAGCAAAGCCCCTTTGATGCGAGTGGAGTGGCACGTTATGCACTGGACGAAGGCTGCGAAAATAGCTTCGTCGGATGTTGTTGAAAACATCATCAATTTTCGATGGAGCAGGGAGTGGGAACATTGGACGACGCTGAATGCGTGTTCCCACTGGTCTAGACGAGACAAAGACCATTTATAAAGAGGAGACGGCGATGCCGTATGTTATCTGCAGGACTAAAGGCGTCAACCCTGACCCAGGGTGTGTCTACCGTAGACGGTAGCGCACAGCTATACACCCTTGTCAATGGTATGACGGGAAAGGAAGACGGCGACATTTCCCTTGAGGCTATTCCCGCGGTGGATGCTCTTCTTGAGCTGGACGAGATCTCCTTCGAAAATTTTTGCGGTGCCTCGATTTAGCCGAGATAGTCATTACACGACTGAACGAGGAAATTACCTCGTCGTCGCTTCCAGATGAAGCTGTCCTGGTGGACACTAGGAGGGTGCTGAGCGCACTTGTCAATCCAAAGACCCGCCGTCGGTCTTACCCCGGACCGAGATGTGCGTCATGAGATTGACCTGGTTCCGGAGACCAAGTACTGCGTAACACGCCAATGGCCCCTGCTCAGAGCAGTG